GACGTTTCGGGTCGGGACCCTTCTTCAGAAATGGGGCCATTTCTGAAAAAGGGACCCCGGCCCGAAACGTCAACGTTCCTGCTCCTCCGATGCTGCCTGGCCTGCTGTTTTCCTCCAGCTCCACACCTTGCTACTATTGTACAGTGTTTTGCTGAGATCACGTCTGGAATACTGTTTGCTGTTTTGGTCCCCACATTTAAGAAAAAGGTAGCTTTGCATTGGAGGCTTTTCAAATGAAAATTCACTGAAGTAGTCTCTGGGTGAGGGGCTCACCCTGTGATGAGTAAATTGGATACGTATGCTGAAGCTTAGAGGAATAAGGAAGAGTCTCATGGTAAAATATGAAATGGTGAAGGGGCTTGACAGACTCAATGTTGTAAACTTGTTTCTGCTGGTTGAGGAACTTAAAATTTCAAGGTGAGGAGCCGATCATTTAAGGCTGAGAGAGGGGACAGTACTCTGCTCAGAGCATTGTGAATCCTTTTTTTTTAAAATTCATTCAGAGGATGAGGGGATTGGTGGCCGAGCCAGCATTTATTGTCAAGCCCTAATTGCCCTGTGGGTCTGGAGTCACATCTAGGCCAGACCAGGTAAGGATGGCAGTTTCCTTCCCTAAAGGACATTAGTGAACCAAATGAGTTTCCTCACAATAATCAACAATGGATTCATGGTCATTGTTAGGATTTTTTTATTATTGAATACAAATCCCACCTTCTGTCAAAGCAGGATTTGAACCCAGGTCCCCAGAACATTACTTGACTCTCTGGATTAACAGTCCAGTGATTGTGCCACCTAGGCCACGGCCTCCCCATGGAGATGGAATTCTCTTATCCCAGAGAGTTATGGGTGCACCACTGTGGAATACATTTAAGGCTGGCATAGACAGATTTGTGATTTTTCGGGAACCTAGGGATTTTGGGGATTGGGTGGGAAAGTGGAGTTGAAATTCCAAGACCAGCCATGATCGTATAGAATGCTGGAGCATGTTCGATGGTGCAAAAAGCCTATTCCTACTTGTGTTTTGTTGTATTGGTGAGAAGCTCCATGATGTTTTGGTAGCACATCAGTCCAGCCCGGTCTGACTGTGGCAATAGGCCCCTTAATGAAAGCCGCTTACAAATGCGAGCTAAATTGTCCCTCTTATTTGTGATACAGAAATGCGATGATAAATCCCATTCTTCCATCGTCCACGTGTTTGTTAACCTAGATTAGCTCCTGGCCTGGCATCGCCCTGAAGTGTAAAATTCTCATCCTTGCAGTCAAACTCCTTTGTGGATTTTCCCCTCCCTTTCACTGCAACCTCATCCAGTTCTACAACCCTTCATGAACCAGTTCCAAGCTCTGTGCCTCCTTGATTTCCTTCACCCACCACTGGTGGCCAGGATTTCAAGTGTGAACACTAGAATTTCCTCCCTAAAACCTCTCCATCTGTACCATTATTCCTTCCTTTAAGATACACCTTAGAAAGCACCTCATTAACCACATTCTCTGCTCATTTAACATATCACCTCCTGTAGCTTGGTGTCGGATTTTTTTTTGTATCTTGTCTACTAACGCTCTGGAGTACCTTGGGATAGAATCATGAAGTCATACAGCATGGAAATAGACCCTTGGGTCCAACCTGTCCATGCCGACCATAATCCCAAACTAAACTAGTCCCATTTACTGTGTTTGGCCCTTATCCCTCTTAAGCCTTTCCTATTCAAGTACCCATCCAGACGCCTTTTAAATGTTGTAATTGTGTTCCCCTCTACCACTTCCTCTGGCAGTTCATTCCATACACACACCACCCTCTGCGTGAAAGCGTTGCCTCTTGGGGCCCCCTTAAACCTTTCCTGCTCACCTTGAATCTGTGCCCTCTAGTTTTGGTCTCCTGTGGGGTGAAACACCTTTGCTATTCACCTTATCTATGCCCCTCATGACTTTACAAGCCTCTATAAGGTCACCCTTCAGCTTCCTACACTCGAGGGGAACAAAAGCCGCAGCCTATTTAGCCTCTCTTTATAACTCAGATGTGCTAAATGAATGCAGTTTGTTGTGGCACTCTGAGGAAATGGCAGTGGTCTCAGTGGTTTGTTGGACAGTGTAATGCAGTGAGAGTGGAGGTTATGGAAGTGTTGTCAGTGCAGTGCTACAGTAGATTAGCCCCACCTCTGATCTATGCTGTACTGTGCCTCAGTGCCCAGAGACAGTTGCATGTTTTAGAAATCTAAGCACCGTCATGTAGAACCTGTATGGGTGTGCGCTGTGCAGACATTTCCCTTGAGTTGTTTTGTTCGGGTCGAGCTGCTAAGCTAACTGATTGATGAAGTGAATCCAAAGAGCTGCCTTGTCTGGGTTCATCTGCAGTCTATAGAATATTTGAACAAAGTAGAATGTCTCAATAGAAGTATGTTTGTGTCTTTTGTCTAGACCTCCCCACTCCCACCCTCCCACCCACCCACCCACCTCGGCTCTTAGTCACAATTTACCTTTCAGAGATTATTGCACAAGTTTCACACGGAAAATAAATAATTGATCTCGCATCAATGGCAATCTACAGAAGAAAGTTACAAACTTTTCCCATCCTTTGAACAGGGAGGTTCTCCTTAACTTGGCTTTTGAAAGGTCTGGTTCTTACATTTATGCAATATCCTCCCCTCTCCTCGATCTTGACTCCTCAACCAGTGGAAACGGTTTCTCTCTTATCCACCCAAACCTTGCCTTAACTATGTTGAAAAGCATCAAATCACGCCCTAGCCTTCTAAATTTCCAAATTTCTAACATCTGTGGCACGGTGGTTCAGTGGTCAGCACTGCTGCCTCACAGCACCAGGGACGCAGGTTCGATTCCAGCCTCTGTGCGACTGTCTGTGTGGAGTTAGTATGTTCTCTCTGTGTTTGTGTGGGTTTCCTCCCACAGCCCAAGGATGTGCAGGTTAGGTGGATTGGCCGTGCTAAATTGCCCATAGCGTCTAGGGATGTGCAGGGAAGGTGGATTAGCCATGGAAATGCAGGATTACAAGAATGGGGGCAGATCTGGGAGGGATGCTCTTCGGAGGAATAATTTGGAATTAATGGGCCGAATGGCCTGCTTCCAAACTGTAGCGATTCTATGATCCCTGATCCTAATTTGGTCCAGGTGCAATTCTAGTAAATACATGCTGCATTTTCTCCTAAGGTAATTATAGCTTTGTCGAGGTATGCTGGTTAGAACTAAACACAGAACTCCACATGTAGTCTAACTAAGGTTTTGTATAAAAGTAATGTATGTTCTTTTCAATATATCCAGCCTTTTTGCAACAGATTTTTAATTATTGAAAATGCATTTTTTGCAGTCCACAGAAGTCTATTGTTGATAATTGTCTTCTGCTATCTTGTTAGGAATCTACTCCCTAGCTGAGAGCAGTCTAATGAATAACCGTGCCTTGCTTATGATGACTCTGGTGCAGTTTGTGTAGATGCTGAAGTACCTGTAATTTTAGGGTCCCGTTGGAAATCAATGTCAAACGTTGAGAAGCAGCCATACTATGAGGAGCAAGCAAGGTTGAGTCGACAACACCTGGAGAAATATCCAGATTACAAGTACAAGCCAAGGCCCAAAAGGACCTGCATCGTGGATGGGAAGAGGCTGAGGGTTGGGGAATACAAGGCATTGATGAAGTACAGAAGGCAGGAGGTGCAGCAATGTTACTCTGCAGGGTGAGTATTTCTGGGTTTGAAGTGGCAACACCAGCAGGTGCATAGTTTGGAGGGACATGCCATACTAAGTTGGCTCATTGAGGAGCACTGTGCAAAACCGCAACCATGCCAGGTTATTCTGACATCACTTTCACACTGTTAGCAGCTGGCTCAAAACTACATGGCATTACAAGTGCATCTTCCTTTGCCATGTCTTGCATGCCCACTTCCACCAGGAGGCACAGATTTGCTTCCTGCCTCTGACTGGTTCTGCTTGACCAAAGCCTCTCCTAGCGTCCATAGAGGACACCATTCATTCATTCTAACTTTATTTGTGTGTCAGGCCCACCATTCACCAGCAATGCTATTACTTCACTGATTTCTCCCAACCACTAGTTGCCTGAAAGGTACGTTAAGCATTTGTGATATCTATAACCCTTAGAGAAAATATAATGCACTCGTTAAAGATTTAAATAATGGGGGCACCAGGTCTTTTATTGCGTCAAATGCCTTGCCTAGAGTATACAGCACATCACTGGCCCAGGTAGAGTTATACTGTACAGCCTATCTGTGTTAGTACTCATGCAGACCATCCACTTGAAGCTTCTCAGAGTGGGATCAGTAGATCAATACAGTCAAGTTCTTAAGAATTAAAGATCAAAGCTGGTAACTAGTGTTGATTTTTTATTACAAAAATATACTTTACTCATAATTTTATGAGTACAAATAAAAGGTTCTAAAACAGTCCTGTACAGGGAAGTGAAAAAGAACACATTGGAATTTGACATTCCTCAGAACTTCTTTGCAGTTACCGAAACACAGACCTTTTCTCCTCATGCAGGAAACTCTATTGTATTTGAGATAAAAGAAGCTGCCTCCGAACTTAACAGACCTTCATTATACTTTGGCTTTTAGACAGTGGTGGTTTCCCACAGCACCTGCCCCAAGCTTTGGTCTGTCCCTCAGCATGTGGTCCCACTGGTATTGATATGCAGAGCAACAAGGATTGAATGGAATTGTGCAGCATACCCAAGGAGTTGAAGGGCCCTTTCCAGTTCATAAGTATGTCATCTTGATAAGGATGAGGGCAGTTAAGTCAAGCGGTGCGCTTTCGAAGCTAGCTCAGACCAATCTGGGAGGTGGGAGAGAAGCAAAGAAGTGGATATCCAGAAGATCTAATAGGTTTTGTTCCCAATTCATGGACCCAGAATTGCCTGCCCACCCAAGCTACCCAGAGTTCCAATGCCTGTTGCGAAAACACATGATGTGTGAATGCTAGCATTTTGGATGAATGTTTGGTTGTCATTGGGCAGCACGTTGGCTCAGTTATCAGCACTGCTACCTCATGGCGCCAGGGACCCGGGTTCAATTCCACCCTTGGGTGACTGTCTGTGGGGAGTTTTCACATCCTCCCCGCACCTGCGTGGGTTTCCTCCGGGTGCTCTGGTTTCCTCCCACTGTCCAAAAATGTGCAGGTTAGGGTGCATTGGCCATGCTAAATTTGCCGTAGTGACCGGGAATGTGCAGGCTGGGTGGATTAGCCATAGGAAATGCAGGGTTACAGGAATAGGGTACAGGGCTGGGTCTGGGTGGAATGCTCGTTGGACAGTCAGTGTAGACTTGATGGGCCAAATGGAGTACTGCAGGGCCCAGCCATTCACAACACATAGCAATGATTTGGAGGTGTAATATTTCCAAATTTGCAGATGCTACAAAGCTAAATGGGAATATGTGTTGTGAGGAAGATGTAAAGCAGCTTCAGGAGGATTGAACAAGCTTCATGAGTGGGCAAGAACATAGCAGATGGAATATAATGTGAGGTTATTCACTTCAGTAAGAGAAATAGATGTGTGGAGTGTTCTGTAAATGGTAAGAGGTTTAAAGTATGGACATACAAAGGGACCTAGCTGTCTTTGTTGCGAAGTCACTGAAGGCCAGCACGGAGGTGTAGCAAGCTGTTAGAAATGTTAATCTTTAACACGAGGATTTGAGTACAAGAGTAATGAAGACTTGCTTCAATAAGAGCTTGCTTAGACTGCACCTGGAGTAATGCGTGCAGTTTTAGTCTCCTTACTGGTGTTCAGAGGGAACATGGGACATTAAACATTGTTCCAAGTATTAGGAATTTAAGTTATGAAGAAAGATTAAGGAAGTTATTTCTTCAGAAGAAATGATTTTGGAAAAATATTATTGCTATAGAGGGTATGCAGCAAAGGTTCACCAGACTTGTTCCCAGGATGGTGGAATTGTGAAAAGAGCGAGGGAGGGCAAACTGGTCCTTTATTCTCTCAAGTTTCAAAGAATGTGAGGTGATCTCATTGAAACCTATGAATACTTAGTGAGAGAGAATGTAGGTGCAGGTGAAATGTTTCCCTTGGTTGGGGAGTCTTAAAATCAGGGGCACAATTTAAAATTGAGGGGTGTGCCACTTGGAACTAAAATGAGGAACTATTTGACTCAGAGGGTGTTGAAGCTTTGGAATTCTCCTGCTCCAAGAGCAGTGCAGGCTTGGTCTTTTGAGAATGTATAAGGTAGAGATTGATAAATTTCAGACAGCCAGTGGCATACTGGTCCTGGGCAGGAGTGAGTAAGGAGTATTGAGTGCTAAATCAACTAAGATTGTATTAAATGGCAAGGCAGAGCCCCTGGAGTGAATGGTTGTCTCCTTGCTCCAGTGGGAGCTGCCCAACCACCAAAAGCACAAAGTTGGTCCTTACCACTTAAAATCCTGAAGGTTGTAGGGGTGAAGTGAAGTCAAAAGTTCCCACTGATTTGAGTTTTCTCTAGTTGACTCTTCTCTGCATCTCCAAGGCAAAGAGAGCTTCCTTCAAGTCTGCTATCTCTCTGCCCTTGCGTGCTGGCTACAAGTACAATGCTTTGTTCTTTCCAACAAGAAAAGAATTTTCTGAAGAACCGAAACGTCAGCTTTCCTGCTCCTCTGATGCTTGATGTGTTCATCCAGCTCCACATCTTGTTATCTCAGATTCTCCAGCGTCGGCAGTTCCTACTATCTCTAAAAGAATTTTGATACCAAGTTGGTGCATAGCACAGTGGCCTATGGAAACAGAAACTGGTATTCTGGGTCTTTATCCACCATTAGATCCTCTCTTGCTATTACAAAAATCCCACAATGAGGTCTTTCCTAAATAAATGCCTAGAAAGTAAGGCTTGCGTTTACATAGCATGTCACTTTCCAGCCAGTCAGACTTCTGAAGCGTAGTCATTGTCATCTAGGAAATGAGCAGGCAATATGCACATAGAAAGCTCCCATTTTCAAAAAAAAAACCAAGGTGGTAATGACCAGATGATCTGTCAGAGTCATACAGCACGGAAACAGACCTTTCGGTCCAACTTACCCACGCTAACCTGGTTTCCCAAGTTAAACTATTCCCACTTGCCTGTGTTTGGCCCATATCCCTCCAAACCTTTCCAATTCATGATGTTGTAACTGTACCTGCATCTACCACTTCTTTTGGCAGCTCATTCCATATATGAACCACCCTCTGCATGAAAATGTTGTCCCTCAGTTCCCTCTTAAATCTTTCAACGCAGTGTGGAGCTGGAGAAACACAACAGGTCAGGCAGCGTCAGAGGAGCAGGAAAGTCGACGTTTCAGGTTGGGACCCTTCATCAGGACTGGGGAGGGGGAAGGGAGCTCGGAAATAGAGGGAGATGGGGTGGGGTTGGCGGAAGGTAGGTGGATGCAGGGAGGAGGTAGTGGAGATTGATCATTGGGAAGAGTGGAGCGGATAGGTGGGGAAAGAAGGTGGACAGGTAGTGTCAGGTCAAGAAGGCAGGGATGAGAGGGAGGGTTGGACGTGGGTTGAGGCCGGATGTGGGGAGATTTTGAAACTGGTGAATTCTGTGTTGAGGCCATTGGGCTGCAGGCACCCGAGGCAGAATATGTGGTGTTCTCCAATTTGCATGTGGTTTCATTGTGGCAACGGAGAAGGCCCAGGATGGACATGTCACCCAGGGAGTGGGAGGAGGAGTTAAAATGACTGGCAATCGGAAGGGGTTGTTGACTGTAGCGTACAGAGCGCAGATTCTCCGTGAATTGGCCACTGAGTCTGCGCTTGGCCTCACCAATGTAGAGGAGACCACGTCGGGAGCAACGGATACAGTAGACCAGGTTGGAGGATATTTAGGTGAACCCCTGTCAGATATGGAAAGATCATCTGGGGCCTTGGGCAGAGGTGAGAGGGAGCTATAGGGGCAGGTGTAGCACCTCCTGTGGTTTCAGGGAAAGGTGCCGGGTATGATGGGACTAGTGGGGAGTGTGGAGCGGATGAGGGAGTGGCGGAGTGAGTGGTCCCTACGAAAAGCAGATGGGGGTGGGGAGGGAAATATCTCTTTGGTCGTGGGGTCATATTGTAGGTGGCGGAAGTGGTGAAGGATGATACGCTGGATGCGGAGGTTGGTGGGGTGACATGTCAGGACAAGGGGGGTTCTGTCTTTATTTTTATTGGAGGGAGGGTGTTTGAGCCCTGAAGTGCGGGGAGGGCATTATGAATCAATTGGGGCGGAGGGGGGTGGAGTTGTAGTCCTTGAAGTAATAGGACATCTGGGATGTCCGGGAGTGGAACGCTCCTTCTTGGGAGCAGAGGCAGAGGAATTGGGAGCAAAGGATCGCATTCTTGCAGGAGGGTGGGTGAAAGGATGTGTGGTCCAGCTAGCTATGGGAATCCGAAGGTTTGAAATAGATGTCCGTGTTGAGGCAGTTACCAGAGATGGAGACGGAGAGGTCCAGGAAGGGGAGGGAGATATCAGACAAGGCCCAGATGAGTTTGAGGTTGGGGTGAAAGGTGTAATGAACTTTTAAATTTTTCCCCTTTTCAATTTAAAGTTGTGCCCTCTAGTTTATGCCCTACCCTCAGGAAAAGACATTTTCTTTTTGTTGGTTGCAGGATGAATAACTCCAGGGAGGGCTTTCATGCTGTGTTTCAGAATTGTGTCCAGGATTCTTTAAGTCTCAGCAGAAAAACGACACCTCTGGCATTGTAGCACTGCCTTGGTATAGCACCGGAGTCTCAGGCTAGACTTTGTGTTCACCCCTCTGGAAGGGGCTGCCTGACCCAGAGGCGAGACTGCCAACCACTGGGCTTTGACTGGCACACAATGTTGAGGGACTAGACCCTCCCCTACCCCTTTTATGTTTGGAGTCCAAAAACCACCATCTTTGTACTTGCTAATTTTTAAAATTTATTCATGGGATGAGGGTGTCGCTGGCCAGGCAGCATTTATTGCCCGTCCCTAATGGCCAGAGGGCAGTTAAGAGTCAACCACATTGCTGTGGGTCTGGAGTCACATGTAGGCCAGACCAGGTAAGGATGGCAGTTTCCTTCCCTAAAGGACATTAGTGAACCACATGGATTTTTCCCCAACAATTGACAATGGATTCACCGTCATCATTAGACTCTTACTTCCACCATCTGTCATGGCGGGATTCGAACCGAGGTCCCCAGAACATTATCTGGGTCTCTGGATTAACAGTCCAGTGATAATACACTAGGCCATCGCCTCCCCCAATTGCCAATCACGATATGATAACAGGAAGAATTTATCATGATTTTGTTCTGTTTTCTCAGGCAACAGGACCAAGTCCACTTGCACCCATCAGACGTGATGTACCCTGGGCAGATTGGGATGACGTCCATTCCTGTCCAGCCGGCAGTGTCGGAACACTATCGATCCTGCAGCCCCGATCCCAACATGCCCGTCATCCTCAACACACGGAGTCTGAAATCTGAACAGGCAGACATGAAGGAAACGCACCTAAACGACGCCAACGGTGAAATGTACGAGTACGGTGAAGAGGATGACTCTGATGTTGAATATCGCAGCGATGGTGAGCTGGTGGTCCTCGCGGACTAGCATCCGCCCACCACTTTGTCAGCGGAGCTTATGGAAATGAACCTTTTCAGGCACAGATGGACCAACACATGTCCTGTCATAACCTGGCCAACCATTCGAGCAGAGCTACTGGGGAAGACCTCGCTGTTCTGGTTATGGAGCACATTGGGGAGGGTCAGGGTTGCAGGTTGGATAACCACTCTCTGTCTCATTCCAAATGTGACCTTTTCATGCACCAGTTGACGAATGGAAGAAAGAGGCAGGTGAGCCTGAGCTGGTCTGGGCCTATGAATAATACCATCACCTATAGGAACACTGACTTGTAGTAACCTCTCATGTACTTGTCCACCAAATGCCATTGTGGTCCTTCCTCATGACACGCCTTGATTCTGTTGACACCGGCTCCAATTGGAGTGAAAGATTGCACGCTGCCCATAGTATCGCAATGGTTTGCTACTTCCCCCATTAGCATCGATGCTGATTCCATTCGTTTGTCACAGAATCAAACTGACGAAGGTGGAGTCCAGCCTAGACTGGCTGCTCCACAGAACTCTATCCGACCAAGTCTCACTCGCTTACCCCACAACCAGGCAACCTTGTTTCTTTTTTGAGCAGTCTTCTAGTTCCCCTTTGAAAATTATAGTTAAATGTCTTTCCAATACATGTTAGGTCCGCACGTTCCAGATTATCAAATCTCATTGTGTTTTACAGAGGACTCGGGAGCAGGGGAGTAGGCCATTCTGCCCTTCAATCCTACTCTGCCATTCAATAAGAACATAGTTGATCTGTTTATGGTCTCAACTCCCATTGTTCTGTTTTCTTCTCTCAACACCTTGACTCCCTTGCCTAACAAAAATCCATCAAGATCAGCTTTGAATTAAGTCAAAGACCTGGTCTCCAGTGCTATTTTGGTTAGAGAATTCTGAGAGAAATAAAATTCTCCTCTTCTCTGTTTTAAAAGAGAGATGCCTTATTTATGTTTTGAAAAGAAAACACACATTCTCTCCTATGGTTCATTTGCAAAGTGCCATTAGTCTGTGACCTCTGTTTCCTGACCTTCCACCAGTGGAAACAATTTCTCCTTATCCCATTGCCATACAATCCCAGTCATTTCGGTGCAAGGTTAATAGCAATTTCTTCATGCGGAAATGTTGGGTAGTCACTGTTGCTGGGTGATAAGGGGAGTGCTCCCAAGAGTAGATTGCAATCCTGGCTGTTTGGACCAGAATGATAAAGCAACAAGAGAGAGATGGAGAGAGAGAGAGAATCTCCGGACTGAACCTGGGGACCCTTTGTTTCTCCTGCTTTTCCACTGGTTACTAGCTCCATGAAGGAAGAGAGGAGAGAATGTACTGCAGTGTGTTGAAGGACAGGAGTTGAGCAGTGGTGTAACCACTAGGGGGCAGGTGGCATCATTTGACCTCCTAACTGCCCCATATCCTGAGACATTGACCAAATTCCATCTTCATGTCACAGGAATTACACCAATCGGAGAAGGTTCCATTATTGACTTTGTTGGCTAAGGGCAACATCATAGCCCGAGCTGATGCCAGTGGGTTTTGGGATTTGACTGTTCAGGCTTTATTAACTCATTAGTCAACCAAAGCCACCATTTATAATTCACGTTGTAAAACCTGCCTACCATTTGGTCCTTCCATTTGACTCAACCCAAGTGAGATGACGCAAGACTTGACTTGCATTCTGCTGCTGTTGAGGCACACGGGTGCACACATGGGTCTATCAAACATGGCTGCCCCCTCTCGGTAGCTGAAGCACCATGAATGGAACCTGCTTTACGCCTCCTCTGCCAGACCACACCCGCTCTGCCATAATCATCGACTTCCCCCTGGGGTTTGTAAGACTGGTCCACCCTTTGCGATTGCGGGGGGTGTATGTCAACATTAGTTAAATCACGGCTTGCTACTTGCCTGAAAGGAAAGGGCCTTGGCAGGAGGGTTGGGAGGTGGGTGTGCATTGTGTCTGTCTGCTCCATTGGTCACTCTACGCAAGAGACGGGTTGGCCTGGCTGGGAGGGAAAGGTTCTCACTGCATTGCCCCGGCACAACAACTTTTCTGAAAAACTTCTTACCCCTCAGGTACTCTGTAGTATGTTTTTGAAATAGATGTCAATATTTGTATAAAGTTTTAAACAAAAATCGTATTACAGTCTGTCTACTGAGTGTGTGTGTGTGTGTGTGTATTTTAATAGCAAGAATTTTTCTTGTTCCTCATTCTCACTGAGGTTTTGCTGATCTAAGCTGAGAAACAGCTGGTGACTAGGACTTTAATTTATTTTTGTTTGTAAAAAAAACTTTTTTTTGTTTCTTTCTGGCCTCCCGTCTATTTTTTTGGATTAGGGGTCTAAGAGAGTTTCTTGTATTGAGGATTCTTTCAGTCATTTGAAGTAGTAGGGCTCTGAACGGACCCTTTTTAAAACCAGTTGAAATTGGCCAAGGGAGTAGGGTGGGTGACTACAATTACAGAGCTCTCTGCTCCTGGCAGTGTAACTCTCACAGCTTCAAGTGTTGAAGGTGTACAGTGAAAGGCAGGAAAGGGACAGCAAAAAAAAAATCCACCAATCTTTGAAGAAAAATCTCAACACAAAGGTGTTCTGAGGACTGTTTCTGAAATGGCACCATCCTATAGACAAGTACATAATGTAATCGACAAGTGCTTGGAAACACCCTGCAGACTCACCTTCACGTGAAAAGAAACAAACTCCAAAGGTGTAAAAGGGTGGGCCCTCGCTGGTCACCCTTCCATTCAGTCAAAGTATCTGCTGCCTAAGCTGCAGTGCCCTTGCTAGTGTGCCTACTCTATGTTGTAAGCCATCACCTGCCCCTGACAGAGGGATTTTGCTAGAGTTTGGGTCTCTCCTTTTTTCCACATCTTTACTTTTTCCCCCAATTGTTCCCCCTTCCTTTTTTATTTGTTGAAAAATATTGACTGCACCAGTCGCTGAGCTGGAATGAGGACCTGGATGATGAGTCAGATGTACAGCTCTTGAGAAGGCTGTGGTAAATTCTGCAGAACATTTCTATTTTTATATCACTCTCTTTTTCTCTGTCCTTCTTCCCATTTGTCTCAATCTCGCTCTACTTATCTCTGTCATTTGGATTTTTCTCATTTCCATCTGTCTCCTTCCATCTCTTCTCTCTCCCTCGCTCTCTCCCCCGTCTCTCTCTCCCCCGTCTCTCTCTCTCCCTCCCGCATGTCTCTCTGTCTCTGTCTCTGTCTCTGTCTCTCTCTCTCTGTCTCTGTCTCTGTCTCTGTCTCTCTCTCTCTCTGTCTCTCTCTCTCTCTGTCTCTCTCTCTCTCTGTATCTCTCTCTCTCTGTATCTCTCTCTCTCTCTCTCTCTCTGTATCTCTCTCTCTCTCTGTATCTCTCACATTCTTTCTGGCCTTCCATCTCTTTCTTTTTCTTACACCCAACCCTCTCCCACCTTCTCTCTTCCCATCACCCATCTAATTCCCCTCTCTCGATCCCACCCTCCATTTTACTTATTTTGATTAATTATTTTCTCTGCTTATCTCATCTTCTCTCTTTCTCTCCTTCAGCCCTCCCTCGCCTTCCACCCCCGGCCCCCCATATGGGCTATTATACTTGTTTGAGTTTGAATATCACAGGGAACTCGCCGCACTATTTCACAGCCATCAGGTGGAAGCTCTGGAGACCCAGCTCTCCGTTCTTAGATATCCAAAGACCCACGTTTATTCCTCTTCCCTCGTGCATGATTCCCATAAAAATGTCCTTCAGTGTCAAAGTTGCCAAGTTCACAGATAATTATTTTCTTATCTTCCTTGTGCGTTTTATAGACTCTAACTGCCCTGTGAACGGTGTGTGAGATAGTGCTACAGAAACCATTCGATGCAAGTCATTTCAGGATAATGTTACAAGAACATGGACCTATTGTTATAATACTTTTATATTCAACTTTTTTCAGTGTTTTTTGTTAATTTTTTTTCTTAAGGGGGGGATAGGCAGGGGGAAATTATTGGAATTTCTCATACCTTGGAATTCAGGTCTTCTTTTGCAATGTTGAGTTGGGAGGGTAAAATTATGACTCCTCTTGAAATAAGGCAAATGATAAATGGTTAATTTAAATGTACATTCGTTCTCCTTGTGACCTGGTCCTCACTGGGCCAGACAGGTAACTGTACGTGGATCGTACTGAATTCTCTTCTTCAAGCACCGTTATGGTGACAAGGCATTTTTGTTTAGGATGGATTTTTTTTTTAACAAAAGCAATGTGAATTTGAATTTGATTTATACAGTGTAATATATGACCATGTTTCTGTTAACAGGAGGAGAGATGATCTCCCGTTAGGGGTGATTTAAATTGATCAGTGCACCCAAATAAAGTGGAATATCACAACCACACTGTCTGGTTTTCATGTCTCAATTACATGACTTTGGCTGCACTTGGAAAACTGATTTATATTTTAAGATGAAAGGGCTCTTCCAATATATTTCACAGCTTACAGAAATTTATAAAATCATGAGGGGCATAGAACATAGAACATTACAGCGCAGTACAGGCCCTTCGGCCCTCGATGTTGCGCCGACCTGTGAAACCAATCTGAAGCCCATCTAACCTACACTATTCCATTATCATCCATATGTTTATCCATAATGGGGTGGCATGAATGGGGTGAATAGTCAAGGTCTTTTTCCCCAGGGTAGGGGAGTCCAAAACTAGAGGGCATAGGTTTAAGGTGAGAGGGGAAAGATTTAAAAGGGACCTAAGGGGCAACTTTTTCAGAGGGTGGTGCATGTATGGAATGAGTTGCCAGAGGAAGTGGTGGAGGCTGGTACAATTACATTTTTTTATTCATGGAATGAGGACAGCACTACTGGCCAGGCTATCATTTATTGCCCAGAGGGCAGTTAAGAGTCAACCACACTGTAATGTGGGTCTGGAGTCATGTGTAGGCCAGCAGGTAAGGATGGCAGCTTCATAGATCATAGATTATAGAATCCCTACAGTGTGGAAACAGGCCATTCAGCCCAACTAGTCCACACTGCCCCTCCGAAGAGCATCCCACTCAGACCCATTTCCCTATCCCTGCATTTCCCCATATCTAACCCACCTAACCTAAATGTCCCTGTGCACTATGGGCAATTTAACATGGCCAATCCACCTAACCTGCACATCTTTGGCCTGTGGCAGGAAACCAGAGCACCCGGAGGAAACCCACGCAGACACTGGGAGAATGTGCAAACTCCACGCAGACAGTCGCCCGAGGTGATGGAATCGAACCCGGGTCCCTGGTGCTGTGAGGCAGCACCGCTAACCACTGAGCCACCATGCTGCCTTAAAGAACGTTAGTGAACCAGACTGGTTTTTCCCAACAATCAAGAGTGGATTCATTGTCATCATTCATAGATTCATAGGCTCCTAATTCCAGAGTTTTACAGAATTTGAATTTTTCCATCTGTCATGGCAGGATTTGAACCCAAGACCCCAGCACATTACCTGGGTATCTGGACCAACAGTCCCACAATAATACTAATAGACCATTGCCTCCCCTTTTTTTAAAAGACATCTGGATGGGTAAATTAACAGGAAGGGTTTAGAGGGATATGGGCCAAATGCTGGCGAATGGGACTAGATCAGTTTAGCATATCTGGTCAGCATGGATGAGTTATACTGAAGGGTCTCTTTCTGTGCTGTAAATCTCTGATTCTATGGCAGATGTGAGTAGGCTGGTGAGAGGGATGGGTTCTTGTGATTTTTTTTAATTAATGATTCCATGTTTATTGAAGTATGGAACTCGTACAGAAAACTTGTATAAATACTGGATAGGATCCAACTTATAAAAGTGAGTTCTGGTGTTGACTTAATCCTTATCAGGCAGGCATTGTAGGCCAATGGGCTTGTCCATTTTGTAAGTACGTTGGAGAAACTCAGCAGGGCTGGCAGAAACTATGGAGAGAGAAACACCGTAAATGTTTCGAGTCCAGTAATTCTTCTGGGCTCATGATTCCTTAGCAGAGTCATATCAGACTTGAAATGTTAACTCTGTTTCTCCACAGATGCTGCCAGACCTGCTGAGTTTCTCCAGCATTTTCTCTTTTTATTTCCAATCTCCAGCATCTGCAGGATGGCTTTTAGTTTTAAGTTTGATCATAATTGTATGTAGTTCTGGTTAGACACCATTGAGAATGATTGATTGTATTCAGTTCTGAGAACCCCACACCTCAGAAAGATACAAGGCCCTTAGAGTGGGTCAAATGCAGATTCACTATGATTGATTGTACCAGAGCTGAAGGGCTAATTTATAGGGTCCAGTGCACAATTTTAAAGTTTACAGATGATATGAAGCTTGGAAACATTGTAAACTGTGAGGAGCATAGTATTTCAAAAGGATGTGGACCAAGTTGGTGAATTGGGAGGATAGGCGACAAAGTTCGATGTGCAGAAGTGTGAGGTGATGTATTTTGGAGGAACGAGTTTGAAGAGGCAGTAAAAGAATGGTACAACGCTCCTAAGAGTTTAAAAGGAAGAAGATTAGGTCTAAGACCAGTGTCACACTCATTCAGGTAGTGTACTGGAAAGCTACCTCCACTATTCCCAGATTTATACAAACTGAGCAAACCACTGAATTGTCCCATTTCCACTCGCTGTCTAATTCCAGTTAGAAGAATATGCATGCGAGATTTTCCATTAACAAGAAAATAACTTTATTGTAATCAAACTACTTTTTAACCAATGGAAAGAAACAAAATATGAATTGCTAGCTTAACTCTACAACTTAAGCCCTGTCTCCTTTTTAAACAAAAAAAAAACCCCATACCATATAAACAGACTCTGATGGAGACGAGACATAAGTGAATGTGCAAAGGGAAAATAAAAATCAGTAGCATAGGTCTGGCACCAGCCCAGATAACACACATTGATGAGTTATTTTCTTTCAGTTTGCTCTTGACTCCTGATTCTCTGCTAATCATGTAAGGTTGTGGAATACACCAATCACTGGTTGAGGATTCTCTCTTTCAGAGTTCCTCGAAGTGGTTTCTTCCTTTCCCTTTTTAACAAGTGCTGAGAATGCAGTTTACAGAGGAATGATGAGTGAGAAAAGCTACAAAGAGAATTTGGTTACTTCTCCACACATAACATGAGAAATAGGAGCAGGAGTAGACCATCTGGCCCCTTGAGCCTGCTCCACCATTCAATAAGATCATGGCTGATCATTTTGTGGACTCGGCTCCTCACTCACCTGCTCATAACCTTTCATTCCTTTACTGTTCAAAAATCTACCTACCTTTGCCTTTAAAACATTCAACAAGGTAGCCTCAACTGCTTCACTGGGCAGGGAATTCCATAGCATCACAACCTTTTGGGTGAAGAAGTTTCTCCTTGACTCAGTCTTATATCTGACGCTCCTTATTTTGAGGCTATGTTCCCTGGTTCTAGTTTTACCTGCCAGTGGAAACAACCTCCCTGCTTCTATCTTACCTATTCCCTTCAGAATTTTATATGTTTCTGTAAGGTCCCACACAGGAGGGAGAAAGAGCGATTCAGATGCTTTCTTTTTGCAGGCTATATGCTTCTCTGTTGTTCGCGTTTGGGACTGTAGACTTATTTTCAGGAACCAATCAGTCGTTGTTACTAAGATGAGCCCTAAGCAAATAGTCATAGACAGCCATAGAGTTATACAGCTTGGAAACAGGCCCTTCAGCCCACCATGTTTATGCTGACCAGCAAATGCCAAACTACCCTGATCCCATTCGCTTGCACTTGGTCCATAGCTTACTAGGCCCTGTCATGTTGAATGCTCATCCAGATGGTTCTTAAATGCTGTGGAGTGCCTGCCTCTAGCATCCTCTCAGGTAGCACATTCCACATTTCTACCACCCTCTGGGTGATAAAAATTCCATATCATATTTCCTCTGAACCACTTGCTCCTCACCTTAAACTTATGCCCTCTGGTCTTAGACCCATCAGCTATGGGCAAGACATTCCCATAATTTACTCTGTCTATAGCCCTCATAATTTTGCATACCTCAGTCAGTTTCCCTCCCAAACTCCTCTGTTGCAAGGAAAACAAATCCACCTTATCCTGCCTTTGCTCATAACTGAGACTTTTCATCCCAGGCAACATCCAGTCCACTTTTTTGTTTGTAGTTTATATAAATGATTAGGATGAGAATATAGGAGGCATGGTTATTAAGTTTTCAGATGACACCAAAATTGGTGGTATAGTTGACAGTC